ACAAGACACAAAAGCGAGTATTAGGTGCAGAGCAACTTGAAGAACTAAGGGATAAAGTGGCTGAAAAACTAATGTAACTTAATCAGCACCTCATTGTAAATATTGTAAATATTGTAAACTAATAACTGGTTATTTGATGATGAACTTTGAAATCATTCTAAAAAAAGTAAAAATTCTATTAATAACTTTGTAAAATAATTAAAAGTGCAAAATAAAAAAAGCACACAAAATTAAAAAAAAATGACTTTACTTTCTGCTCCTACAGGATGGAACGAGATGGTCTATGCACCAATACTGAATGATTCTAATGATGAGAATATTTCACAAATACAAAAAAATATGCTTCTGATGGATTCGAATAATTGGTGTCCACGAGTTTCAAGAAAAACAGTTGAGGAGGTTGAACAAGTAAAGAAACCATGTTTCGTATTGGATCAAGTGCTTTCAAAAGACGAATGTAAATTAATGATAGAGTTGAGTGAAAAGATGGGATATGAGGATGCGGATAAGTTTTGCTATGCCTATAATGATCGATTTAATGATCGTTTAATGAGTGACGATCCAAAATTTACTGAAATAGTCTGGAATCGTATAAAGCAACATCTGCCACAAACATTGAGTAAGGATGGCAGAACATTGCATTTGGCAAGTATAAATCCTCGTTGGAGATTATGCAAGTATAAACCAGGGCATTATTTCAACAAACACGTCGATGGCAGCTTTGAGGATCACAAGAACAAAACTAAGAGCTATCTCACTCTCATTATTTATCTGAATTCTCAATTGGATGGAGAGTTTGAGGGTGGATCGACGATATTTTATGATTCTCGAATGGAGTTGATGACTAGAAAGGTTACTGAACCAGCTGGAAATGCATTGATATTCCTTCAGAATGATAAACACATGTTGCATGGTGGAGAGAAGGTCTTTAAGGGTGTGAAGTATATTATGAGATCAGATATAATGTATTCGAAACGTGAAGAATTAAAATACTAATTTCTTCTCTTGAATAATGATGGACTTGACACATTTAAACTATTCGAATCATAGTATTGAATATTCCAATAAAACTAATTTACTTTCTATTCTTTTTACAATAAACTGGAATATCAAACAAATTCTTATTTTGATTTCCTGCCTTGAAAGTTCCAGAAATGAAATTCCACACAAAAAAGTCACTCTCATTAACCTTAACAGGAGTTCCATCAGTTTCATCTTCCCAATAAGTAGAAGTCAATCTCTTCCACACTCTACAATTAACTCCATTTACAACTTGATTTCCAGCAAATGTTGCATTTTGTAACCAATTATATGGAAGTGGATTGAAACCCAATTCAACAACATTGCACGTATTATTATGTGGATAGAATGAATATTGAGTGAAACCTGCATGGATTTGGATGAGTAATGGTTCGTTGAAGAATTGGATTTCAATTCTTTCGGCTTTTAATTGATAGGAATTGAAGATACGATAGGTGGCAAGTTTGGAAGGATTGGTGTCGACAAAACCACCTGAATTTTGATAGGCAAGGGTTGACCATTCGTATGGCCAAATTGGTCCTGTTTGGAAAGATGATGAAATAAACAAGACGAAAGTTAAACTAAAGAGAAGGAATGTGATGAGTTTGATCATGGTGTTTGCTATTTTTTTTTGAATCTTGTTTTGTTTGATTCGCGTGTTCATTTATAACGAATCCATGATTTGGTTGATACGGAGATACTACGGGCGGTCTTTGGAGTTGATTGATGCTCAACTTCGGAGATGATAATGAAAATTCCAAAGACAAATTCACTGTTTCTGCAATGTAGCTCAACAACATTTATTACAACAGAAAAGATGACAATATGATATTATGCCACGTTTTGAGAATCAATAGTTAGATTGATTACACTAGATTACACAATTTCATTTTTTTATTTTTATATGACACTTCAAATTGATGTAATGTTTTTGATGCAATATTTTTGAAATACACGCACTGAAACCTTCAATTCATTGTTGCATTTTCAATATACAT